GCCAATCATTTATTCTTCCGCCTGAAAATGGCGTCCATGTTTTCCCTAGGGTAAAAATGAACAGCTGGCTCATGTGTTATTTTTGCCCTAGGGTAAAAATGGACACCATTTTCAAACAGTAGAACCACGAAGTATTATAAGGAGCACTCACTCCACTTTAGCAGATAGCCACGGTTTCGCCAAATCAATTAGAGAAATGTCCCATAACGATTAGGACGCCTCTACAGGAAAAGCTATGTACTTTATAGTTTTTCACAATATGTCTGCGCCTAATATCGTCTGCTATTGCTCGTAAATAAAGACTGTTGACTTTGTGAAATGATGATTTTTATTGAGTTTAATATGACAAATAAATGAAATAAAAAAATAAAAAAGTGCACATATAAAAAAATAACAATTTGTGGAAAGAATTTTGTGAGAACATAAACGTGATAAGTTGGAATTGATTTATGTCTTATTTTTATGTGTTTTCCATTACTTGTCAAGATTAAATAAAAGTGTATATTCTGCAATTTATGAATTTTGTTTAAATTTATAGATTTCCATGTGTACTCTCTAAATTTGAATTAGCTAAAATTTCACTGTTTGAATCAGCGAATAAAGTTTTCACTGCAAATCAGCGGATACAGCTAATAAAATAGCGAAACACGAATCGGCAAACGTCGGTCATTTTCGTCGGAAGATAAATTTATTTTTAAAATGTAGTATTCCGCTGATTGAAATAGTTGTTAGTCGCTGATTCGCAGCTGCATACTTATAGCTTTTTCAATCAGCGACTATTCGCTGCCAATCAGCGGATTTTAGCTGATTCAAATTTAGAGAGTATAAAAAAATTATTTATATAATTTACATTTTTACATCTCATGTATTTATAAAAATACTATTACAATTTTTAGGTTATATCACCATCTGTCACCCATCTGTACACAGAAAATAATGGAAAATTCGATGAATATACTCTCTAAATTTGAATCAGCTAAAATCCGCTGATTGGCAGCGAATAGTCGCTGATTGAAAAAGCTATAAGTATGCAGCTGGGAATCAGCGACTAACAACTATTTCAATCAGCGGAATACTCCATTTTAAAAATAAATTTATCTTCCGACGAAAATGACCGACGTTCGCCGATTCATGTTTCGCTATTTTATTAGCTGTATCCGCTGATTTGCAGTGAAAACTTTATTCGCTGATTCAAATAGTGAAATTTTAGCTAATTCAAATTTAGAGAGTAGTTTGTCCATTCAAATATTTACAAATAAACAACTTGTTTAAACTAATCAAAATTAAATTTCAAAACCGGCCCGTACTAAATACTGCTGCTGAATACAGTGTAAACAAACAACAAACATTCAAGCATAGCAGACGATAAAATCACGTGACCTGTAGTAATTAATTTTCCCGCTAGGGTTGTTAGTATCGTTATGGGACACTTCATTAATTGAATCGGAAAAACATGTGACCAGAATTTTCCGAAACGGCCAATAGAGTGAGTGCTCCTTATAATACTTCGTGAGTAGAACAAATGAATGGCTTTTTCACCCGGCCCTCAGATAACCTAAAATCGCGACGTTTGTGCCTTTGGAATAAAAAAAGTATCGTAAGTAACATGGGTTCAAAGGCAGCCAATTGTTTACGTTGACGTTTGCTAGCACTCGTTCACGTCTCGGGCTGCAAACGCCAACGTAAACAATGGCTGCCTTTGGACCCTTGTTGCTTTTTCTATGCAAAATAAAATGAACCGTTTTGGTACGGATTTTTTGCTATTTAATTAAACAGTAGGAGGGTTAAATGATTTATTTTTTATTAATAAAAGAAATTCTTTTGGAAAAAAATTTAAATAGGAAAATCTGCTTTACATAATAGGATTCCTCTGAAGTTAAATAGAATGTTTTGTCAGAGAGTAATGTTCATACAGTTATCTATTTAATAATTAAATAAGTTATATCTTATACTTTATAATTATTTCGAAAATGTTTGAGAAGTTGTTATTATTTCTTAAATTGAATTTACAGTAAAATAAAAAGAATGTTATAAAATGATAAAATTTGGAAAATTCATATTTTCTTAATTGCTTTCATATTTCTATTAATAATATTATATTTTTTTTCATTTTTGTGAAAAATATGTTTATAACCTTGCAACATTTGCCTTGAAATAAGAATATTTCATTACGTGAAGGATATACTGTAGTTATTTTATCCCAGTTTTTGTTTATTTTTAATCATATTGTGCATATATAAAAAAACAAATAATTGTTTATTTACCCTAACAGATTGAAGAAATAAAATTTTGTATTTGTTTTGTATATATAAAAAATGTATCTTTAGATGATAGAAGATAAACGGGGTCGGCAGCGACGGTAATCGTTTTGGTATATATAGCTTTAATTTTTGATTGCAAAGGTGCTCTAAGTTCTTTCAAGTTATGTAACCCAGTTTCTCTCTAACGAGTTTATCATCGACCAAACAAGTCTTGCGGACAAATTTTGAACACCGCATTGTCATTGTCTTTCTTTTAAGAAGTATTCAGTAATCCATGGTATCTTGTATAAATCATATAAAGAACTCGATTAGCGCACTGACATTTTTTTGTTTTGTTAATTTTAGTGTTTCGAGTTAATAATAATGAAATTTGATAAGCGATTGAGAATCAATTATCGACCACGAAATAATAATCAAAATTTTAAAAGTAAGTGAAAGAAAAAAATAAAATCATGCGCTAATGAAAATTACAAAAAAGTTTATTATTTTTCAATATCTTTTTTCTTAAAATAAGAATTTAAAATTTATTAATATTTAACAGAATTGCTAATTAATTATCTATTAGAAATATTTTTAAAACATCTTTTGTGTATTTTATTACATTTTAACGTTTATTTGAATTTTTGTACTTTTTTGATATTTTATACTGGCTTCCATAAATTTTTTTCTTATTTTTACCATAGTAAGGCGGTATATTTCGCTCAAATTTTTGTGTTTTTTTAAAAAAAATTGTTAAAAAGTAAAAATAAACTTTGGTACTAAAAATATATGTATAATTTCTGACTCTTTCCTATTGTAAATTCCCGAATGAGATCCCGTATAAGATCACTTATGGTTTCTCATATGAGATACTACATGAGATCTTACGAGAATCCTATATGGAAATTCCATATAGAATTCTATATGAGATCTCACATAGGATCCCACATGGGTATATGTAGTAGTTATTTAAAAAAAAGAATGAGACATATTTTAGGTTTTAAACAAAAAAAAATTTTTCTTTATATAAAATGAACTCGAAATTTTGTCAGATTTTACGTGTCTCTTACCGTTTTTGAGATATTCACAAATCTTATTTTTTAAAATTTCGAGCCCATATGGGATCCTATATGGAATCCTGTATGGACACTGATAAGATTCTTCTTACGAGATGTCCTTATCAGATTTCGTATAGAATCTTATATAAGAAACCATAAGCAATCTTACAAAGGATCTCATATGGGAATTAACAGTAGGGTCCTCTTTATAATATAATTGTGTACGTAGAAAAATTAATATATACTATGCACAAAACAACTTATATACCTTTACTATCCACATAGTTCAATTCGAACTAAGGTATTGAAGAAAACGACCCAGATACAAAAAAAGTGCTTAAAATTTTTTAAATTGAAATATTACTACGACTTTGAAAAAAAGTAATTCATTGTACTCCACTATCCACTCTCTAAATCTAAATTAGTCAAAATTTTACTAATTGAATTAGTAACACCATATTTTACTAATGAATTAGTTGTTTCATCACTTTCTACTAAAAAAATAGTCACTTTTTATTACTGAATTAATTAGTAGTGCTTTTTCTACTAAAAAAATAGTCACTTTTAATGACTAAATGAATTGTAGGGATTTTCTTCTAATTTGTCAGTCATGATATGTGCATACATCAAAATAAGCAAAAATAGCTTAATTGTAAATTTTTTAATTTATTATACAACATTTTTCTGTTCCAACCAAAGAAAAATCAGTTTAACAAATGCACAAGTAATTATTTTCTATTAAGTAATTATGAAAAAAATATTTATTTTTCTTTATGTCCAGACATAACAATTAGGTTTTGTAGGTTATGTTTACCAAAATTGACATATAATTAATTTAGTAATATATTATTAATAATGATGATATTGATATTTTGATCAAATTGAATGTGTTCAAACTCAGTTCTTCAAATGTTTGTATAGATGGCAATACTTATAGAAATATCTATGTCTATATCTTATAGACACCAAACTATTGTTGTTATGTTAATGTTAAATAATTTAATTAACAAATTTAAATCATTATTGGCATATTTATAAGACTCTAATTACAAATTTATATAATAATTAAATTTGTATAGAAAACAAATCGACTTTACCTTATTTATTAGCGATTTGACAACGAGTTTATTTTGTATTTTTTTATGTTCTATTTTACGTTTGTTCATTATGTTGATGTATATATCTTTTTAGAAAAAAATTCTAAAACTTTGTAAAAAGTACACAATGGAGAAATAAAATCTAATCTATAGACGATCTATCTATAGACAACGAGTTTATGTCAATTTGCTTATAAAAGACATTTTGTAACGAATTTTCATACCTATCTAGAAACTGAAACTTCTAATTCATTTAGTGGTAGATTAGTTGCAGATTGAATTAGTAACTTTTGACTAATTCACAGTAATCGAATCCGCCCTATTTGAATTAGTCAAAAATGACTGTGAATTATTTAAAAATGACTAATTTAGATTTAGAGAGCATTTTATCTTATTAAGACTATTCTATAATTATATAATTCAATGTCTCTATTATTCTTAATGAGATTACTGCGTATTATTTAAAAATTATTATACAGTATTTACGAAACTACTAAAAAAATATACTTCTGAAAAAGTTTTCTAATTGCTTTTAGTTAGAAAATTGATTTTTCTGTGTTTAATGTCTTTAATTAATTGATTGTTAAATATTTTTGACTTCTTACCTCTCATAATGAATTTTCGCTTCTTCTAAATTTTCCATTTTTTCTCCTAGCAAATATTTTTTTGCTCCAATGATACAATTCCTGTAAAAATTAAGAAGACATTTAAATAAATAATGCATAATATAAAGACGAGGGGGAATTTACTCTGGTAGTCAAGTGTACACTTGCCTGGTAATAATATCATGTAATACTGTGTAATACTAGTAATATTGTGGAATTATGGTGTAATACCTTAAAAAATTTAAAGAAAATCAATCCAAAAAATGTTAATATAAGTAAAAATTTTAAACACTTATTCAAATGTAGCGCGGCAGTTGATGCTGAAGTATAACAACTTTGCTGTAGGTGGCGGTATCGAATGTGTACAGAATCAAATAAGAAGATGGTTCTTTAGTAATTGGCCGAATTTTAGCTTTGATCTGCCTTACCGGAATAAGTAAAAAAAATCGAGTACAGTAAGATATCTGCTCCTGTAATTACACCGAAACAAAATGCACGAGGCTTAGGTAGTTTGTGTTCGTGGTTTAAGATAGCAAAAAACCAAATATTAAACGTTTTAAACATGGATGCTCACGGATATTATAATATAGAAAATTATATTTGTTCAGTTCCTCGTCTAAAAATAAAAACAAATGAGTTATATTTATCGTGTTCTTTAAAAGAAATTTCAAAACATTTGAAATAATAGTTATTTACGTTTTAAAAAAGAGAAAATTATTTTCTTTTATAAGTAGGGTAAATGCACTAATTGCGGCGCGATTCGAGTCAAAACACCTTTGAAATAGAAAATTCGACATTTCTATTGTATAAACTCAATTTAAGACTTATTAAACTAAAAGGTTACGTTATTTAGATGTTAAAAAAATGTTTAACTTTATAAAAATCGATTATTTAAACAAATATGAGAAATTAAAACTAATACCGTAATTTTCTATTGCGGCGCGTTTATTGTATCAGTTTCGCTGTAGCAATTTCGGTGACAAAAATTACGTATATTTTGAAGATACTTTTCCTGCCGAAATTAGAGCCAATGGAAATATTAAAAATGTTTCAATTACGGCGAGAGAAAAAATTTGATCTCAAAAAATTTAATTAATAATTGTTTAAATGTGCATCTTCATTAGTAATTGTATCAAAAAAAAGATTAAAATAATTTTTTTTAATCATTTCGCAACAATTATATTAAATATAATAGTAATAATAGTTATTTTTTATGAACGCAGCGTAATTGATGATCTCGTCATAATTGATGTACTTACCCTAATATTTAAAAATAATTAATTATTTATTTCTTTATTTCTTATTTTAAAGTTTTGCTCTTAAATAATAATTTTATTGAAAGTTCTACGTATAAGAAAGTGCTATTTGACGTGTAATATTTTTTGTAATAAAGGGTAATACTCAGTAATATATGTGTAAAACTTTGTAATACAGTAATATTTTGATAGTAGTATGTAATACTTGTAAAAAGTGTAATACTAAGGTAATAATGGTAATATGTGTAGTTGTAGTCAAGTGTGCACAATTTTTACTAGCAAATTTCCCCTCATATATTTCAACCCTACAGAGACCCTAAATTAAGCCTACTTCAACCTTACATGAAATATACACCCTGAAAAAAATATATTTGTTTCAAAACCAAATAAATATTAGTTTGTTTTAAAGAAAATTTATTTGAAAAAAATAAAAAGATATTAGACTCTGAGACAAATGAATAAAATATATTTTTTTGTGTACTTTGGCTCTACATTATAAACTGATTTTGACCTGACCTTCAACTTTTTTCGACATAAATGACGGACAGACTGGTAGACTTACCTGAAGTATTCACTAATGTCTAATGAAAAATATGCATATCCAAAATCTGCTACATCATTGGGTGGTAAATTTTCTAAAAGATCTAAAAAATTCTTGTTTTTGAATTTCCAAACATTCATTAAAAAATATTCCAGAGAACTAATGGCGTTATAAACTTTTCTTTGAATTCGAACCAACCTGTAAAAGCCATTTTAATAGTGGTAATCTAGATGAATATAAAACAATTATTAAAACAATAATAATAATAATTAATCTAGTATAAGTATATCAAAGAAATAATAAATTATATTATAAGTATCATATTAAACTGAGTTCCGAGTTAACATTTTACCAACAGCAGGCGTTGAAATTATAAATGAATTCTTACATAGGCTTCTTTCCTGTTGTTTTTAACAAACCATCAATAAAGTAAGCAGGCAGTAGATGGTAAATTATCATCAAAAAGTAAAATAAGGTTTTATTTTTAGTTATAGTGACACTTGGAAACCATAAAACTCCTTCCAAAGGTATTTCCTTATTAACTTTAAGGCCCATTTCAATCACTTCGCTTGTACTTACGGCCTTAACTTCAGCTGAACAGCAATTGTAGACATGAACGCTAGGATCCCTTGTTATGCTAGATTAAAAACACATAAGCATAATAAATTAACTTTACACGTATTTGTAGCATGAGATAGAAAAGGACATAAACACATCTCTTTCCTTTTCCAACTCACGCTTGTTCAAAAGGGGAATCGCAAATGCACCGTTATTTCTGTTTCCACTTGTTAGCAGGGTTGGGCAAAAAGCCGAGATAAATGTGAATCTCTAATTAAATGTGCTATTTATTTGATCAAATGCATTAGTGAAATCTCTGAATTTGTAAATAAATATAACTTTGGAGGTTAAAGATGTTTGTTTACTAACTTGAAATTTTTCTACTGCTGCGGTAATTCCCACTTAATATATATATATATATATATATATATATATATATTATATGTTTTTCAATAACATACGTACTGGATATTGTTTAATAATGATGTTAAAATGTAAAATAAGCAACCGATGATATAGTTCGGACGGTGAAGCGCCTCAGATTACAAAAGAAAAAAGATAGAATTACAGACGAAATAGAAATGTACCAATACTTACTTCATGAAATTAAAAAAGAAATAAATAAAGAAATAAAATTAATAGCTTGCGAGTTAGCCTGGATAAAAGAAAGCTCACTAATGACGCATAATTAGATATAACAAAATTGACAATCAATGAAAATAATGAAGTTATTGTGACCGACGAAGTACAAAAATTAAACGTTTTAGGTGCATACTTTGCATATATCCGTCAATGTCCAAAACATAAATTTAGGTAAACCCAGATTAAATGAATTAATTGCAAATAAAATTTCATCCTTCAAAAACGAAATAAATAATGACACAGAAAACCATAAAACAATAATAAACTTTACAGATAATAATAAATCTTCTTGGTCAGTTTGGGAAGAAGATCCAAATTTTTTCTGCACCTTGAATTTACTCGAAAAAACTGTCAAAAAATTAAGAAATAAATGATCATCAGGAATAGATAAAATACCAAATATAGCGTTAAAAAATCTTCCGAGAACGATCATATGGAATTATAATATATTGTTTAACAATGTGATAAATAATTCTTATTTTCCAAAAGCATGGAGAAAAGCAAAAATTGCCCCAATCAAAAAAACAGATAAAGATTGAAGCCTTTCCTCCAGCTACCGTCCGATCTCACTTTTACCTAACATCAGTAAAGGTTTTGAAATGATAATAAATAAACAAATAATAAAATTCTGTGATGAAAATAACATAATACCGGAACACCAATTTGGATTTAGATTCAAACATTCTACAGCTCATGCAGTAGGACTCATTTCTTCAGATATAAATAAATCAATCAATGACAATTCATTTGTAGGTGCAATTTTAATCGATATTGAAAAAGCTTTCGACACGGTGTGGAGGGACGGTCTCCTTTTCAAATTATTACAATCTAAGTTCCCAGAATATCTGGTAAAATTAATATGGGTTTCATTACAGGGAAAAGTTTTATAACAGCACAAAACCAAATAGAATCGGAAGTTTCGTTCTTACTCGCAGAGGGTCTGCAACAAGGACCAGTGAACTATCCTATTCTATATAATATATTCATGGTACCCATGCTTTCTCTATATAAAATAAACGGTTCAAAATTAATCCGCGGAATAGCGTTTGCCGATGATTTCATAATCTATGTAACTCACAGAGATGTTGACGAAGTCAAAAAAATATTACAAAATGTATTTAGGCAAATATTAGATTTTTATAGCACATGGAAATTAAAGGTTAATAATGATAAGTGTGAGACTATACTCTTTCCCCCCACGTACACAAAGTACACAAAAAGTTTTGTGTGGCATGGAGACATTTCAATATATCACCAGCCGATAACGAAGAACCTATACCCAAATAGCACAACTATTTACAGCAATTTTGCAGCAAGTTTGCAATGCCAAGTTTGCAAAATTGCTGCAAATTTGTGGCAAATAGCGATATATCCTCCCTTTCCAACTTTGCATTATAAGTTTTCAGGAAAATTTTTCAGAAAGTTTGCAGAAAAATTTTATGTCAAACTTGAAGAAAACTTGCAGAAATTTTTAGAAAAAATTTTTTAAATTTTTGAGTTGTAAATATGATAATATTTTGTTCCTGGATAACTTTCCTGTGGAAAATGCCACTAAAATCTATTGTGCAGTTCTAGGTGCCATAGATAACTAATGCGCATGACATGAACTTGAGCAAATAATTAGCAAGTTTTCTTCAAGTTTGACATAAAAATTTTCTGCAAACTTCCTAAGAAATTTTTCTGCAAACTTTCTGAAAAATTTTCCTGCAAACTTATAATGCAAAGCTGGAAAAGGGAGGATATATCGCTATTTGCCACAAATTTGCAGCAATTTTGCAGTGCAATTTTGCAAACTTGGAATTGCAAACTTGCTGCAAAATTGCTGTAAATAGTTGTGCTATTTGGGTAACGCATAAAAAAATAGTCAAATATCTAGGTGTATACCTAGATGAAAAAATGAGGTTCAACAAACACACAAAAATCCAAATTAAAGAAGCAAAAGCAGCCTTCTTTAATGCAAATAGACTGTTTGACTCGAGAAACGTTGATCAAAAAGTAAAAATAATATGCTACATGTTATTAATCAGGCCTATATTGACATACTTATGCCAGATATGGTTCAATGTTGGTCCATCTGCCATCGAAGCATTAAGAGTTTTCGAGCGGAACTGTCTAAGAGCATGCACTAAATTATATAGAACCAAAGAATCCAACATTTTAAAATGTTACTCAAACAAAATTATATACAACACAGCAATCGTTACCAGAATTGATAATTTTATTTTAAAACTCACAAGAGATCACATATTAAAATCCGTTAAATTCAAAGAAAATAGTCTCATATTTAGCCAGTATTACCCTAATATCATATTTACACAGAAAAAATTCGAAAAACAGGTAGAGTCTCACATGAAATATTCCCTTATTTAGACAATTTAGGACTTTTGCAGGATAAAAATAACATTCCAATAATATACCACATAAAACGACACGCCTTTAATAAACAAATCTCTCACGACCCAAATATAGATTCAAAAAATACACAGGAAAACCTCAGATACTCAATGACCATACCAAATAAAGATACGAAAAATAATTATAGAAAAAATACTAAAAAATACTGGTGGCTTGAAAAAAGTTACGCGATAGATAACTATGAGGAAAACGCAAAACGCACTACACTTTTCTAAATGTAAGATAAAAAAACCAAAATACTGTAATACAAATTACTTAATATTAGCCGATATGTCTACGAGAGCCAATTATGGACATGTAGAAATTATATAAATTAAAAATTGTTAACGGTTTTAGCATAACATTGTTTTTCCGAACATCATGTAAATATGGGACGCATGATTATGTTCAAAAATCATTAGTCATAATTTACATTTTATCGAATTTTATTTGTCCTAATTAAGGCGAATTTTTATTTGTTCGAAATAACATTTGGCATAATTTACATCAAAGCGATTTTCTATATTACAGAATTTTTATATAACCGAAAATTCACTTCACATAATTTTTATTTCTTCGAATTTTTATTTGTCAGAATTTTTATTTGCTCAAATTTTCATTTAACATAATAGGCATTTTAAAGAATTTTTATTGGGTAGAATGTCATTGAATAGAATTTTCATTCAGATAAATTTTCATTTTTTCGAATTATTATTTGATATAATTTCTATATAATCGATTTTTCATACTACAGAATTTTTACTTAACCGACAAATCATTTAATAAAATTTCTAATTGATAGAATTTTCATTTGTCCGAATTTTCAAATGGCCGAACGCGGTGTGTCTGAACCAGACTCAACCCAAAAGTCTTTGTTCAGTAAAAATTTTTTTTCCAGTGAAAGTATATGAAAAATAGAAACTTTTCTCACAAAAATCAAAATAATCTGTGGAGCCGTTTTTAGGAACGGTCCCATTGAATATTTTCGCCATTAAAAGTACATTTTTTAAATGAAAATAGAGAAAACAAGTTTATTATTGTATTACAGTTTAAGTTGCGGATCGAGGGGGTACATTTACTAGCCCTTCCAAGAATCATAGTGGAATTTTTGGGTTAAAACCTCCACCACCGTGAAATTTTGAATTTTTTTGAGAAATCTAAGCAAACATAAAATCTTTTCTGAAACATTTTTTTTCCTACGTCCCTTAAAAAAACAAATGTACCTATAATAATTTTTTTACCAACTTGACTGTTTGTCAAATTAATTTTACCAACGAAATAATAATCGTTTTGTATTGTATACGAGTGTGAATTAAGAAAATATTATTGGACTAAAATTTTAATGTTTTCGTTAATGGAAACATCTTTTTTATCTTGCAAAAACATAATAAATTCACTTTTAAACGATTTTCATCTCACTATAAAAAGTCATAAGGGGATTTTCCTACATTTTTTTCACTATCACTGATAGAGATTTTAATCTACAAAATCGTTGGTAATAGCCGTTCTTATAATGCGGCAAAAATACAGACTCTAAAATGAAAAACATAAAATTTTGTAATTTTCCCGTTTTAAATAATTGTCAAATCTCCGATGATTTTGACACTTTCAATGTAGGTAATAATAGTACCAACTATTAATGTAGCAAAATAACTAATGACTGAGAAATTACAGCAGATGGGAAAATTCTCATTGCCGAACGTAAACTTACCATGTTTAAAATAGCAATTATCTGGAAGGTGGGAATTTTCTTTTTACCAAATCAAGAAATATTGACATTTTTAATATGGTACAATAATTTGTTTAACCCATATCGGACAGCTGTTCGACTAGTCGAACACTACAATTGCAGACGCACTTACAAATGTAAGCGGCATAATTATTGTAATTGTTTATTAATTTTGGTTCTTTAAAAATTTGAAAGTAAACTACTTGTCGATGTTAAAAATGTAGTTGCATAATAATGTATGATATTCTAATATTTTATTTGCAATGTGAAAACTAGTGTTTAACTAGTCTAACAGTTTGTTAGTAAGGAAGTTT